CAGGCACAGCAGCGGCACCCAAGGCATGCCCTACGCGATTGCCACGATTCGCCAGGTCTGCCTCGATGCTGCTGCCCCCGTAGATGAGTTTATTTTTGAGGCGCCTCAAAATTCGATGCTGCTGCCCCCGCAGATACCACATACATGATGATAGTTGTGGCACAGCTGAAGAGTGGTGAGGCAACCTGAGGAGAGCTGTAGCATGGCAGGGGAGCCAGTGACGGGGTAGGACCGTAGGAGCGGAGCATGCTAGTGCTGGCGTTGCGGCGCCCCAACCAAACCTTGCCTGTAATGCAGATACCTGTCCTGGCTGCTGCGAGGCGCTGACGAAAATACCTAAGGAGAGCTGTAGCATGGCGGACGAGCCAGTGACGGGGTAGGAGCGGCTTGAGGTGACTCACTATGTACCAGTCAGCCGAGGTGACTCACTATGTACCAGTCAGCCGCAAGTGTGCTTACCTGAGGAGAGCTGTAGCATGGCGGACGAGCCAGTGACGGGGTAGGAACGGAAGATGTTGGCGTTGGTTGGGCCGAAGCGAGAGACGTCCAGAGGGGGAAGCGTGCGATAAACCTGAAATGGGAACCCAAGGGACGGGGGAGAAAGGGGGGGGTAAAGGAATGGCTGGTTGGGGGATGGAGACCGGAAGAGCCAGTGATGGGATAGGAGCGGAAGATGTTGGCGTTGGCGGGGCCGAAGGGCAGAAAGTGGCACAGCTGAAAGTGGCACAGAAAGTGAGGAGTCTATTTTTGAGGCGCCTCAAGGGCTGAAAGATGGCAGATGTTGGCGCTGCGGGACCCCGGAGATCGGGATGGCAGGGAGGGCGAGAGGCGCAGTGCAGTGGAGAATGAAGGAGGAAGCGAGAGATGTCCAGGGGGGCAGCGAGCTGTACGCCTGAAACAGGGGAGGCAGAGGCGAACGTGATACTATGCATAAGTCTGCAATGCTCACTGCAATACTCACTGCAATACTCACTGCAATGCACACTGCAATACTCACTGCAATGCTCACTGCAATGCTCACTGCAACACTCAGTGCAATACTCACTGCAATACTCACTGCAATATTCACTGCAATACTCACTGCAATATTCACTGCAATACTCACTGCAATATTCACTGCAATACTCACTGCAATATTGTGCTTGTGCTGTAGTGGAGGAGAATCGCGCATTGCCCCGCAAATACGAAAAGGTGGCCGGAGGGCAGCAGGGAGGGAAACCCAACAATCCCGGGTGTGTTACACCCTGCGTTGCTTAGTGTAACTCTACAACTTACTGAGTTTGTGGTGTAGTTGAGGAGAATTGCCTGCTGCCCCGCAAATATGAACAGGTGTCCAGAAGGCAGCAGGTGCACAAATGGGTAGAGGTTGTAGGGCAGAGTTTCTTCCAGAAAGCGCAGCTTGTAGTTGCCTGGGTAAGGGCGGGTCAGGGGAGTCTAAGGGTTGGGAACAGGGAGGTAGCCAGAAGGCAGCAGGTGCACGAAGGGGTTGTGGTTGTAGGGCAGAGTCTCTTCCAGAAAGCGCACAGCTTGTAGTTGCCTGTGATTTGGGGAGGTGGGTATGGTGCAGGTGGGAACAGGGGTGGGTGGGAACGTCATGAGCTCTTACCATCAGGCAAAAGCTCGGATGTCTGGTACCACTGCTTGGTTGCTTGGGTCTCACAGCACAGCTGCTACCAGGGCGACGTCCCAAACGCTACCAGAGAGAAACGTGCCCCCCCTTACCCCAGTCCCTCACCTTCTCTCTGGTAGTCAGGACGGAGAAGGTGAGGGACCCTCTCTCTGGGAGAAATCCCTCACCTTTTGGCGAAGTCCCTCACCTTCTGGCGAAGTCCCCCTCCCCAGTTCGTAACCTTCGCCATCCCTTTCTCGGCCAGAATGAACGATTCATAGGAACGAGTTGATGGCCACGTCACGTTGCATTGCAAAACACATTGGCGTCTCCAACCCATGATGAACATCCGCACGTCGGGCAGCAGCTGGGGGCTCAGCTGAGCCGTGGGGTACCAGCGCCTGGAGGTCATCTTCCCTACCAACTCTGTAGCCCAGCGCACTCCAGCCTCCAGCCTCCCAACACACGTGCAAGCAACCAGCCAGCCCTGAACAAGCATTCCTCACCTTCTGCTTCCTTCCTCGGCCAAAATTCGTAGGTGGGGTTGTTGTCTCGAAAGGAATTGATAGCCACATTGCCAAAGACGTTGGCGCCTCCAATGACGAATATCCCGCCCGTCTGGAAGCAGCTGAGCCGTGGGGTACCAGCGCTTGGAGGTCATCTTCCTACCAGGGAGAAATCGCAGCTATTGTTGCTGCTGCTGCTGTTTTTGGCAGCAGTATTGGCAGCAGCAGCAGCAGCAGCAGGGGGGCAGGGAGTGAAGGAGCGGATGGAGGCAGCCCCGTCGAGGAGAGGGTCGGCCAGGTTGGTGGCGTTGGCGTCTGACGTGCCGCCGATGCTGATGAGCCGACCGTATTGGTCGATGGCACCTGGAGGAGTAAAGAAGGTAAGCAGGCAAGGGGGCAGCAGGCAAGGGGCAGCAGGCAAGGGGCAGCAGGCAAGGGGCAGCAGGCAAGGGGCAGCAGGCAAGGGGAAGCAGGCAAGGGGAAGCAGGGAAGGCAGCAGAGAAGAGAGTGGAGGGGGTTGTTGGAAACCCCTCCATCCACGGAGTGGGTCGGGCGATAGACCTCTCAGGGAGTGAAGGAGCATAGGAAGGCAGCCCTGTCGAGAAGAGGGTCGGCAAGGTTGGTGGCGTTGGCGTCTGACATGCCTCCGATGCTGATGAGCCGGCCATATTGGTCTATGGCTCTTGGTGTTGTGGGAGTGCAGTTTGAGCCGACTCAAAATACACCTATGGCTCCTGGTGTTGTGGGAGTGGGGGTGGAGGTATGAGCAACAAGGGTGGGTTACGAAGCCGGAAGGGGATGGAGGGCTAGGTTGGTGAAGAGTAGTAGGCGTCTGTCATACCTCCTGTGGGGATGACACGACCCCAGGGGTCGATGGCTCCTGGTGATGGGAAGCCCGGAGGTTCGAAGGAGAGTGGCAAGGAGGAAGAACAGGCTTCACTAGCATGACTAGCGTTGACTAGCGTTGATTCATGTTGACTTGCGTTGACTAGCGTTGACTTTCACTGAACTGTGGAGCGGAAGACTACGTCCAGAGCCCTGAGAGACCTTGGAGGTCATTCGCCCTACCATCAATAGTCAAACCCCAGGCCAGCATTGACCAGTGTTGACCAGCATTGACTCGCACTGACCTGCAGAGCAGAAGACATTGGACTTGACGTCAAGAGCCCTGAGGGACCTCGATTCGAAGCTGTACTCCTCCGCATATGCCGTCTGGAAGGGCGGGGGAAAGAGGGCGGGGGAAAGAGGGCGGGGGAAAGAGGGCGGGGGGAAAGAGGGCGGGGGGAAAGAGGGCGGGGGGGAAAGAGGGCGGGGGGAAAGAGGGCGGGGGGAAAGAGGGCGGGGGGGGGGGGGTGAGAGGGGAAGAAGGGGGGATAGGCAGGGGAGGGGACAGATGGGGATCTTCGTGATGGGGGAAGAGCACAAGACATTGGACTTCACGCCCAGAACCCTGAGCGATCTCGATTCGAAGCTGTACTCCTCTGCGTATGCTGTCTGGGGGCCGGGGAAACGGGGATTGATGAGAGCAGATACTAGGTAGGTGCAACGGGGTAGGTGAGAGCAGATACTAGGTAGGTGCAACGGGGTAGGTGAGAGCAGATACTAGGTAGGTGCAACGGGGTAGGTGAGAGCAGATACTAGGTAGGTGCAACGGGGTAGGTGAGAGCAGATACTAGGTAGGTGCAACGGGGTAGGTGAGAGCAGATACTAGGTAGGTGCAACGGGGTAGGTGAGAGCAGATACTAGGTAGGTGCAACGGGGTAGGTGAGAGCAGATACTAGGTAGGTGCAACGGGGTAGGTGAGAGCAGATACTAGGTAGGTGCAACGGGGTAGGTGAGAGCAGATACTAGGTAGGTGCAACGGGGTAGGTGAGAGCAGATACTAGGTAGGTGCAACGGGGTAGGTGAGAGCAGATACTAGGTAGGTGCAACGGGGTAGGTGAGAGCAGATACTAGGTAGGTGCAACGGGGTAGGTGAGAGCAGATACTAGGTAGGTGCAACGGGGTAGGTGAGAGCAGATACTAGGTAGGTGCAACGGGGTAGGTGAGAGCAGATACTAGGTAGGTGCAACGGGGTAGGTGAGAGCAGATACTAGGTAGGTGCAACGGGGTAGGTGAGAGCAGATACTAGGTAGGTGCAACGGGGTAGGTGAGAGCAGATACTAGGTAGGTGCAACGGGGTAGGTGAGAGCAGATACTAGGTAGGTGCAACGGGGTAGGTGAGAGCAGATACTAGGTAGGTGCAACGGGGTAGGTGAGAGCAGATACTAGGTAGGTGCAACGGGGTAGGTGAGAGCAGATACTAGGTAGGTGCAACGGGGTAGGTGAGAGCAGATACTAGGTAGGTGCAACGGGGTAGGTGAGAGCAGATACTAGGTAGGTGCAACGGGGTAGGTGAGAGCAGATACTAGGTAGGTGCAACGGGGTAGGTGAGAGCAGATACTAGGTAGGTGCAACGGGGTAGGTGAGAGCAGATACTAGGTAGGTGCAACGGGGTAGGTGAGAACAGATACTAGGTAGGTGCAACGGGGTAGGTGAGAGCAGATTCTAGGTAGGTGCAACAGGATAGGTGAGAGCAGATACTAGGCTTGAAACCCACAGCTCTGAGTGACCTTGCGTCAAAGCTATACTCCTCTGCGAATGCTGTCTGAAAGAGAGGGGCAGATGGGGGACTTCTTGAAACAAGTGTGATGGAGTGAGGGAGCAGCTGCTAGACTTGATACCCAGAGCTCTGACCTTTGAGTCGACTCAAAGGTCATTTTGAGTCGACTCAAAAGCAGACTTGATACCCAGAGCTCTGACCTCGTGTTGTGTCAAAGCAAACGGAGCACTGGTGTCTTTTGAGGCGCCTCAAAAGGCAGATGCTAGACTAGACACCCACAGCTCTGAGCGACCTCGTGTTGTGTCAAAGCAAACGGAGCACTGGTATGGGCAAATCCTCTTGCTCGTCCGCTTGGGAGGTTATCTTTTAGGCGCCTCAAAACCCGATATTGCTTTGTCTAACTCACAGAGACCGACCCCTTGTGTGGCCTTGTGCATGTGACAAAGCAATCAGAGCACTTGCGAGAGAAAACCCAATTACTTTCCGCTTGGGAGGTTATCTTCTAGGCCCTCAAAACCCGAGATTGCTATGTCTGTCTGTCTCACAGAGAGCTCGACCCCTTGTGAAGCCTTGTGGTTGCGACAAGGCAATCGGATCACGTGTGAGAAAAAAGCCCACTTACTCTTCCGTTTGGCAGCTTGGCATAAGTGTTGCTGACGTCCGTGCGATCTATATAAAGGATCGTCTTATAGTGAGTCAGAGCAGTGTGGATGCCTGACACCTGGAGCAGACCAGGGAACAGAGCATAGAAATCAAAATGAAAATCAATAAGCAGCACATTAGAGAATGAAGGATCATGTCATAGCGAGTCAGAGCAGTGTGGATGTCTGACACCTGGGGTGATAAAGCAGGGGAAAGAGCAGTACAGGGCGAAGAAGAGGATAGTAATACATTTGCAAGAAACATGTTATAAAGAGTCCGAGCTGTGTGGACCTCGCCCTACCTCATCCCAGTCTTGCCCCACTCACCCGGATCTTGCCCTTCTTGTGGAAGTACTTCGGATTGGGCTGCTGGGCTGCAGCTGGGGCCAAGACGCTGGCCTTGTGTGACTAGTACAGAAATAAACCATTCCCATCCCAACCTTTCCCCACTCACCCAGATCTTTCCCCACTCACCCCAACCTTGCCCCACTCACCCGGATCTTGCCCATCTCGTAGAAGTACTTCGGCTTGGGCTGCTGCGCTGCAGCCGGGGGAGGAGAGGGAGATGCTGCTGCTGTGCTGGGGAAACCAGCAGAGCCAGCAGCACCAGCTGCACCAAACGCACTGGAAGAATTAGGGGAATCAGCAACACCGCCACTAGCTGGCGCTACAGCAGGAGATGGCGCTACAGCAGGAGATGGCGCTACAGCAGGAGATGGCGCTACAGCAGGAGATGGCGCTACAGCCGGGGACGGCGCTACAGCCTTGTATGTGGCGTTGATCACAGGCTTGCCTGATGGTTCCATAGATGAGTCGCCTGATGCTGGTGTTTGCAGTGAGCCTTGCTGCGATTTCATGCTGACGTGGCGGCCAGCTGGTGCTCCAGATGAACCTGGACTCGCAGGTGATCTTGATCCAGGTGTTACTGGAGCAGGTGCTTTCTGTCCAGGTGCTTTTGAAGCAGGTGGCTTCTGACCAGGCATCATTGGAGCAGGTGGTTTTTGTCCAGGTGTTTTTGAAGGAGGTGGTTTCTGACCAGGCGTTCTTGGAGCAGGTGGTTTCTGGCCAGGCGTCATTTGAGCAGGTGGCTTCAGTGGAGTTTCCGCTGGAGATTTGGGTCTGCCTGACGCCCTACTCACACGCCTTCCCCTACTCTCCTCCCTCCTCCGACTTTCATCATTTGCACATCCCACCGCGGTGCACAGACGCTTCTTCGCCTTCAATAAGCCAGTCACTACCTTGCCTCTCTTCGATCTGCTTCTCTTTCCCTTGCTCCTCTTCCCCTTGCTCCTCTTCCCCTTGCTCCTCTTCACCTTGCTCCTCTTCCCCTTGCTCCTCTTCCCCTTGCTCCTCTTCCCCTTGCCCCTCCGTCCCTTCCCACAGCCCTCCTCGCCTCTCCTTGTCTTATGCGGACGCAGCCATCGCAGCAACGGTTGTGATGATGACGTGGAGCACGTACATTGACTGGATCCACGTGGCCATTTCCTGAGGGAACCTATCTGGCTCGCCAATCCCCATGGGAGCCTGCGTGGCCGTTGCTTCAACTTCCCTGCGCCGGTATGATGATTTCCTTTAGTAATAGAGAAATGTCCTGCGCCGGTATGATGATCCCTTATACTAGAACCAGAAAGCCTGGCCGATTTGTTGAACAGTGCGATGTCAGGTGATTTAAGTGATGAACCCTTGGAAACGGCGGCTCCTGATGCAGGGCTAGCAGACGCCTGGACAGACGCACCAGACCCACCAGGCGCACCAGATGCACTGGTTTCAGCAGCCTCCTCTTTGTGGGAGCCTGCTCCTGCTGCCGCCACTGCTGCTGATGCTACTGCAGCAGACCATGCAGCAATCAGAAGCAAGTGAAGGAGAAGGCACAAGGGGCGTTGACGCCCATTCCGCCGGCCTTGCACTATCATGTGCCGTCCTTGCATGGTCTGCTGCAGCGCACGCATCACGACCGCCGGCGACTGATTCGTGGAAGTAGTAGTCACGAACTCCCGAGTTCAGTGCAATTCGCTCTGAGTCAGTCAGTGCAATTTCCCGCACTGGCGTTTCCCCAGAAGCAGCCTTAGTCAGGCCGGATGGATATAACGCTGTCAGTTTCCACGAGAGTTTCCACGAGACGCTGCTTCACTGGCAGCAAAGCCGAGGAGAATTCTCACACTGAGAAGAGAATAGTTCTGACAAGTCTAAAAATAAGGCTGGCCAATGATGGGGTTGCCAGTCCTTATAGACTCTAGAGATTCAGAACCCTTACTATCATCAGGATTGTGACTCTGGTCGAGGTGGTTAGATTCCGAAATGAGCTATTTCAGCAAAGTAACTTGGGAGCCCCGTTGCCGCAACGAGCAGGCTGCTCTCTTTTCTAGCAGATTCCGTGCCTTTATTCTAGAGGACTCAGCAGCGTGAATCCACCGACACGCGGATGACACGAGCCGTGACAATACCGGCCGTGACAGTAAAGAACGACCGCCTGGCGCAGCCAGGGTGCTAATGCGTAGCGCCAGACAGTTCACGCGAGGAGCTACCATCATGCTACACGAGTTGAAGGCGAGGTGGCGAGGCGAGGCGAGAGCGCAGGTGAAGTGACGACGAATCCAGCAAGGCGAGGGAAAAGGATCCGAGCGAGCGAACAATCGGGCAGAAAACGCGACAGCAAGGAAAGGAAAGGAATCTGAAACGGGCCGTCGGTCGGACACAGGGTGGCTGGTAGGAGGCTCCTGGAAGAGAAAATAGTAGAGGTGGTAAGTGAAAATGTCTGGTGACAGACGAGCTAGGAATGCAAGGTGACAACTTTAGGGCGTGTAGCCTACGGTTTCGTGGGCCCAAAACCGGAACTGGGTTCCGTCACCGTTAGACGCCAGTTCCGTTTGCGCACGGAGCCCCGAGTTTCTAAACTCGCATTCGCAATCTGTCTGCGGACGGAACGTCGAGTTCCGATTCTCGAAGTTCCAACATTCAGAAGTTTGAACGAAAGCAAAACCCACCCCCCGCGAAATGATGAAAACAACGACTTCGCATCCAATGAAAAACAAGACAAATTTGGCCAGTGCCAGTTTCTTGCCCCGCGAATGGTCAATATGGCGTGTGGCGTAATGGCATCGTCGTGATGTTTCGTTATTTTTCGCGGGAGTAGCATTGGCTTTTCGCTCAGAACTGGCAGGAGAGTTTCAAACAGACCTCCAGACGACCGCCCGGGCAGGTGTAGAACCTCGAGTTCCGGAATTCGTGAATCCTTCGCGAGACTGCTGGCGAAAATGAAAGCGAGCAGTGCTGCATTTTGTAGCCTTTTTCGCCCGCGGACAGAACTCAGTTCCGAAACCGTAGGACACACGCCCTTACTGGTGGTGTCAGAAAATGCTCAGATGAACTTGAAAACCTGTCAGGCGATTTTGGCAGAAAATAGGAGCCAGACAAATTACTCGACATTGACTTCATCTATATCATCGCTGGCACAGCTGAGATGAGTTGTGTTCTGCATGTGCCAATATTTGAAATTAGAATGGGTAAAGCCACCATCTTCAAGCAATCTTACAGAATATACATGCTACTGAAGATGGCTTGAGGTTCTTTTGGGGCTTCTACCCCATCCAGTGATTACTGAAAAGTGGTTAACAGGAAGAAAACGATATTTTGTACTAGCACCCCCTCCCCTCCCCCTATAGAGATTTGTAAAATATCATGCATGCCTCCATATATGCATATGGCGAATTAAAGCGAGCAGACAGACCAAAATCAAGATTCAAAGACTTTGAATCTTGAGTTGGGGGTAGCGAAAATGGCGAGGGGCACAAGTGTCGCAAAAATGGGGCGGGCCCCACGCGAAACGCGAGGGGCCTCGCGACGACTGAAATGGTCTCGCCAAAACTGGCGAGGTCGTAAGGGTACAGCGGGCGACGCTGTCAAACATGTTTATTTATCATGTTTGTATAGACCGTATAGGGTAACCTCCTAGAGGGTACAACATTTAGGTATATGTGCATGTACTCTCTCTCACTAATCAATCATTCAATTCTAGTTTTGAGATGGTATCAGAGCGTAGGTTTCGACCCCCCCCCCCCCCCCACCTACCGCTTCCGCCCCTATCGTCGCGTCTCCTAGCCTAGCCTCGCCCCTCCTGAGCCCAGTCGCGACCCCCCCCCCCTAGCCCCGTCGTTCTCCTCTCAGGCCCCGTCGCGCCCCTTCCAGGGCTTCGTAGCGCCCCTTCAGGCCCCGTAGCGCTCCTTCCAGGCCCGTCGCGCTCCTCCCAGGCCCCGTCGCGCCCCTTCCAGGGCTTCGTAGCGCCCCTCCAGGCCCCGTCGCGCCCCTTCCACGGCTTCGTAGCGCCCCTTCAGGCCCCGTAGCGCTCCTTCCAGGCCCAGTCGCGCTCCTCCCAGGCCCCGTCGCGCCCCTTCCAGGGCTTCGTAGCGCCCCTCCAGGCCCCGTCGCGCCCCCTCCAGGGCTTCGTAGCGCCCCTTCTGGGCTTTGTCGCGCCCCTCCTGGGCTTGGTAGCGCCCCTCCCAGGCCCCCGTCGCGCTTCTCCCTGGGCCCCGTAGCGCCCCTCCTGGGCCCCGTAGCGCCCCTCCAGGCCCCGTCGCGCCCCCCCCCCTCCAGGGCTTCGTAGCGCCCCTCCTGGGCTTTGTCGCACCCCTCCTGGGCTTGGTAGCGCCCCTCCCAGGCCCCCGTCGTGCCCCTCCCTGGGCCCCGTCGCGCCCCTCCTGGGCCCCGTCGTGCCCCTCCTGGGCCCCGTCGCGCCCCCCCAGGGCCCTGTCGTGCCCCTCCTGGGCCCCGTCGAGCCCGCTCGGCCCCGTCGCCCCAGCTCGGCCCCGTCGCGGCCGCTCGGCCCCGTGGCGCCCGCCCGGCCCCAGTCGCAGCCGCCCGGCCCCGTCGCAGCCGCCCGGCCTCGTCGCTGCCGCCCGGCCCCGTCGCAGCCGCCCGGCCCCGTCGCAGCCGCCCGGCCCCTGTTGCAGCCGTCCGGCCTCGTCGCTGCCGCCCGGCCCCGTCGCAGCCGCCCGGCCCCGTCGCAGCCGCCCGGCCCCGTCGCAGCCGCTCGGCCCCGTCGCGTCTGCCTGGCCCCTCGTTGCGCCTGCCCCGCCCCGTCGCGCCTGCCCGGCCCCGTCGCGCCTGCCCGGTCCCGTCGCGCCTGCCCCAGCCCTACATACTTCCCGGTACTGTCCCCCCTTCCCTGCTCCGCCTTGCACCGCATTGCCCCTCACTGGACCGCACTGCACCGCACTGCACCGCACTGCATCGCTCTGCACCGCACTGCACTGCCCTACATCGCACTGCACCGCACTGCCCTGCACTCCAACGTCCTACACTGCCCCTGATGGCTGCTGAGCTTCGTTTTGATGCTGAGGGTCAGCCTCTGGAGTTCGAGGCGTGGCTGGCTGACCTTCGCCGCCACCTCACTGGTCAGCGGCAGGACGGCCACCCGCTTTCCGCCCACCTAGACGGTATGCTCCCTGCCCTGACCCCCCTGCTGTGCTGCCCGCTGATCCCACGCCCGCTGAGCGCGAGTCCACTGCCGCCGCTGCCCTTGCCCGCTCTGTCTGGCTTTCCCGCGATGCCCTTGCTCAGCTCGCCATTAGCAATGCCCTCCCCCCCCCTGAGCACCCTCGCTTTAGAACCATTACTACCGCCCAGGCCTACCTCGATGCTGTCATCAAGCGCTATTCTACCCCTCCTGCTGCCTCAGTGGGTCGCCTGATCCTCCCCCTGCTCTTTCCTGACCTTGCGTCTTTCCCCACTGTCTCTGACCTAGCTGCCCACCTGCGCTCGATAGATGAGGCCTGGCGCGCTGCCTGCACTGATGCACAGCTTAGAGCCCACCAGCCCCCCATGACCTCTACCCTCTACCTCCTTGCCACTCGCCTCCCTGACCGCCTTGCCGCCGCCCGCGACCAGTTCCTTAGCATCCACCCCGCTGCGCTCACCCTCACCGACTTTGTTGACACCCTGACTGTTATAGAGACTCGTCACCGCTCCATCGCCCAGGCGAGCGGTACCGTACCGGTCCCTATCTTTCAGGGTTGTGCCCCCGCTCAGTGTACCTTCTCCGACGGCTCTGTCGCTGTGGCTGAGACTGCTGCTGTAGTGCAGTCCCGCTCGGGGAAGGGCCGCCGCCCCAAGGTTGGGAGCGGCGGAGGCGGCGGGGGTGCAGGTGGGGGTGGTGGTGGAGTCGGGTCGTCCGGTGCCGGAGCGGACGTGGGGACCCTGCCCAGTCCAACTGCCCCGCTGCCTCCACAGTCGCAGCAGTAGCAGCAGCAGCAGCAGTCGCCGCAGCCGCAGCCTCCGCAGCAGCTGCAGCACCCGCCGCAGACGAGGCAGGCGAGTGCCCTCCCGCCTGGGTGGCCTGGAGCTGGTGGTGGTCGTGCGCGTGGTGGTGCCCCGGGTGGTGGTTCTGGAGGCGGGCCCTGTCAGTACCAGATCCAGACCGGTCCTCGCCGCGGCTTCGTTTGCGGTAAGATCGGTCATTCCACTCCTCGCTGTTTTCGTCGTCTGGACGACCTGTTCCGTCAGCGCTTTGGCCCGGCGCCCGACCTCCCGGACTGGCACAGCTTGCTTAGGCGTAGCATTCAGATTTTTGACTTGGACATGGATGCCATTGTAGCAGCCTTGCATGTGATGTATGCTGATGACTCTAGTGTGCTTCCCTCTTATTACCCCGTGTTGCCTAGTGTAGATGTTCCTAGCGTAGACTCCCCTGCTGCGTCAGGCGTAGGATCTCCTGCTTTGCTTAGCCTCGGTGCTTCCACCGCTTCTCTGCCGCCTCGCGCGACTGCTGCGCTTTCCTTCACCTTGGACTCTGGCGCCTCCCGGTGTTTCTTCCGCGACTCCACGACGCTGACGCCGCTGCCTGTTTCCGCTGCAGTTACTCTTGCTGACCCCTCCGGTGGTCCAGTCGTTGCCCGCAGTTCCACCTCCCTTCCCTGTCCGGCGGTTCCTTCAGGTTCGCTCACAGGTCTGCATCTCCCCTCGTTCTCCAGGAACCTAGTTGGTGTCGGCTGCCTCCAGGACCTTGGCGTCACCACTACGTTCCCTGGTCACGAGCGGTATGCTGTCTGTACCGAGGCCGCCACTGGTGCCCCCCTTACCACTTTCCCCCGGGACCCGGTGTCCGGCCTGTTCACACTTGACACCGCGACTTTCCCGGCTGGGTCTTCCCCCCAGGTCGCTGCGTCCACCCAGGTTGCTGCTGCGTGCTCTTGTCGGTCCCTCACTCACCCGACTCTCCTTTGGCACCACCGCCTTGGTCACCCTGCACTCCCGCGTCTGCGTCACATGTCCCAGCAAGGTCTCGTCCTTGGTCTCCCCGGTTCGTTCCCCGAGTTTCCCTCCTCCCCCGCCCCCCCGTGCACGCCTTGTGTCGAGGGCCGGCTCCGTCGTGCCCCTCACTCCTCCTCGTTTCCCCCTACCACCGCACCACTGCAGACTCTGCACATGGACGTCTGGGGCCCAGCCCCCGTCCATGGGTCGCGTCGCGAGCGCTTCTTCCTAGTGCTTGTCGACGACTTCACGCGCTACACCACCGTCTTTCCCCTGGAGCGGAAGGCCGACGTGCCTAACGTTCTCATCCCCTGGCTTGTCTCTGCTCGTGTCCACCGCGGTCTCCCTGCCTTGCGCCTCCACTCCGACCGCGGTGGCGAGTTTGCCTCAGGTGTCCTTGGTCGCTTCTGTCGTGCGGAGGGCATCACCCAGACGTTTACCCTGCCGGAC